AAGACTCAGATGAGCAGGACATCAAGCCAGATTGTCATCTGGCTGTATAGTCATCGTAGTGTTGGAAGACTGAAGCCGAGGAGGGCAGATTGTGTAACCCATGACGTTAGAAAATATTTGAAGGTGCGAAAATGGATGGCAGCGGTAAAGAATAGAGACACATGGTGGTTACAGTTGGAGGAAGCCAGGACCATTTGTTTGTTTTAGTACTAGTGAAGAAAAACAAATTAACCTAAAAACAACCTAATTCACCAAAAAAAAATAACCACTCATCTGAGACTAGGTTAGATCAGATTATTGGCAAAGGTCAGAAAGATACATTGTTACCTTTCTAATAATATCAGACAGTTGCTATACAGTAATAAAATCTGAAATAGTTTTAAAAAAACATAAGCTTCTCGATAGCTCGTTGAAAATTTATAATACTAATATGAACAACTAAATCAGTTAGTTTAGAAACGGTGAATGTAACATCTTCATGATTTTGAAAACAATGACAAAAAAATATTTCGCACCAAAATTTTCCAAAGATCCAATTCTATAAAAATTATATAGCACAAACAATCAATCTTCACACTATTTATAATGTTTTTTTGCATTAAAAGATATTTATAAACAATGCACCCAAAACAAGTATCAACTTGTTCTAAATTATTAAAAATGACAGGTGTCTTTTGTGAAATAACGGATTCAATTGGGAATAAAGCAAATCTGAGACTTAAGTATTTTAGTATATTATAACTAAGTATTATGCGAATATTTTTTAATCAAACAGCCAAGGCATCATTGTTATTTTATACTTTCAGAACTAGATACATTTAGTACAAAGGAGTGTGAGAACATTTTGGAGAAGTAGTCCAAAGATTTCAGTATTTTAAATATATAAAACTACAACCACTACTACCCAATTCTACCAACATTCAAATAAAACATTATAGCGATAGAAAGTATAACAAAAAGTAATCAAAAAAGTCGTAAAAACTGTGTTTTTTATATTATATTAAAAAATCTATATTTTACTTAGCTATCAAGCTTATTCCCCAAAATGCAAGTCACCTTATGAATTAAACCAAGTCGGGATAAAAAATTGAAGTCTCTCCTAAATTCAACAATAAAGGATATCCTGAACAATACTTTCATTCGAAGATCAAAAAAAGTTTTTAAACCTAACCTCTCTAACCAGCCAATATGAAAACTGTATCATCCTCACCATAACTATAATTTTCTGAATGGTGTTATATAAAAGGATATTTTGTGCAATCATATACATAAAGGAAGTATGGGAATGAGAAATTAAACAAGGAGTTTACTAGTATTTTGAGGAATGATAAGATTGTTATGATATAAAAAAAAAATAAACAATGTGTTATACAATTGTAAACAGATTCTAGTGACACAACTTTTAACAATAGATTGGCTTTTAAAATTTAAAATACTTTTAGTAACATGAGCCAAATTATATCTTGTTATTGTTATATTGTAGTAGGTAATACATGATTGCTAAATAATGATGAGCTTGAAATTTTCAGTTTTTCTTTTGTCATAAAAAAATTTAACTTTTCTCTAAATTTATTTATTTTTTTAATCCAAACTATAAAGCCACGAGTTTCTAACATAGGGGTAAACAGTTAACCTATCAACGCTTTGTCAATTCAGGCAAAAAAAAAAAAAAAAAAATGTAGGTCACAAAATGGAAAGATGCCTACAACAATGTGATTTTAACTATTTATTATTTGTTTGTCTAAAAATTAATATTATGGAAAAGAACAGATTATCAGAAAAGAATTTTTATATAGATTGATTTTAATAGGAAAAGAAATGAGATACTGAAGAATTCATGTGGAAATGAAAATAACTAACTATTTATATTTATTTCATGTACTTGGTCTAGGTAACTATTTTTTTAAGCTTTTGTAAAATATTTCTTAATTTCATCCATCAGATCACTAATAGCTTGTGAAGGGGAACGAACTATTTTTGATTGTCATCAATTTTTTGGATATATAATTATTATGGCAATACATATTTTGTTTCATTATATCATTGACTGGAGTGGGGTAACCATATAGTTTGGTTTGAAAATGACCCTTTGGGGGTAGTATTAAATATTGAAAATGGGGAGGTAAACATAGTTACCAGTAGCTTATCCAGTCTATTCCTTATATTTTAAGCCTATATGTGTGAGTTAGTGAACAACAAGTGCCAATGGCAGTAGTCACTCGATATATGGGGCGAGATATACATAGGTAGAATAACTGTTAAATTTCCAAAAATCTTAATTTTTTTTCTTTAAACATTTTTTTCCCTCATTCACAATATTGAAATGTGGTTAAGAAAAATAAGTAGTGAAACATTTAAAGAATCTCAACACTTTATTTTTATTCATAATATAAAATTGCAACCACAGTATAATAAATAATCAAAATTTTTTTTCAAGAAAATTCATCTTCATTAAATCTAATAGCCCTGTTCTTTATCTTCTTCAAGGAATGACATTTTCGAGGACAAAAGTCATTAAACACTGTTGAAATCATTTTTAGCAATTAACAATAAATAATTGCATTACTTTTTTTTAACAATTAAATAATTTCATTTAAACATTCAACATAGAAAAAAATACAATATTGAAACAAAAAAATAATAACATGATTATGATCTAATTTAAAAACATATGACTGAATAATTACCTGCAAGGGATGAGAATGGTCATAAACCTATGTGGCTTTATTCATGATTGTTAGTATTTTGATTTTGTTTACATAGTAATTGAAAAAAATTAACTTTTATTCGTAGGTGTTGTATTAAGACCACAAAAAACAATATTACGAAAATAGTTAACAGAGCAAAATACTCATCTTTTTCTGCTCGGAAATGTTTATTTATTATATTTGCTTATAGTTTCATCTACTGCTATTGACTGCGGTCTAATGAGCATCATAATCTATTAACTGTTAACTTCAAAATATAAAGGCCTGGCTTCCTCTTAAAAACCTTTTGAGTAAAATAAATGTTGTCGGGCTTCTGTTCTCTTATCTCAGACCCCTAAAATCCTCTAGGTATCCTCTGTTGCAAAATCCATCTAAATAAGTCTTCTTCTACTAGGTCTGTTGCAGTGAATGCTATAATTTATTATTTCTCTGGAGATCTTAAACTTAGAAAAAAGAACTACATGACTGTCCAACTCGATCTTTTCAGCTGATGCGTTCTTCTATGTCTGGTTCACCAAGGAATCTATACACTTCCTGGTCACGCCTACTGAGGTATGTCAGTTCAACACCCCCAAGGTCCTTAGATGAGGCACAGAATTTTTTTTTAAAACAAAAACTTGTTTTCAGTTTCATATTCATGTAGCCCAAGTCATCTGATTCGACGCTTCAAGAGCAAGGAAAGCATCACGTGCAGTAGCCTGGAATTTTCAAATATTATCAAGCTCATCTGTGTATCCCAGGATCTGAACCATCCAATTAAAACAATGTTGTCTGCCTTGCATAAACAAGAAAGCAGACATGACATTCCTGCTCACCCTATGTATAAATGGTCTCTACAATGATTAAATCGACCAGTTAGCCTGGTATTATAGCTCTCTCATTGCTACATGAAATATGATATTCAACTGAGTGATCCTAAATTCAGTAGTATTTACAAAAAAATACATTTTTTATTTTTATTGACCGACATGTCGAATACATTATAAAAGTTGAAATAAATCTATGAATCCAACTGTGTACTCCTTGAATCAAGATTTTACGAAGTAAAAATCTTTGAAAACATATAAATAGACCGACATATCGAATAAATCATTAAAGGTAAAAAAATTAATATTTCACCAATTAATCCTTAACTCAAATCATTTTCAAAAAATACACCTTCGTCAACATACACTCCTGAGGATAGACTTTCATATTCAATATATTTGAAAAGAGAAAATAAAGCAAAATCCAACCACATAATCCTAAAATCGATAGAATTTTTAAAAAATATGGCTTAGATGATGTATTAGTAGACATTCATATCAAATAAATTCAAAAAGTAACAATAAATCTATCTCCAACCACGTAATCCTAAAACAGAGAGTAAATTTAAATTCTACGCCTTGAATAACATAATGTTAGACCCATATATCTCACAAATCCAAAAAGATAGAATAAATCAATATTTGACCTAATGATTTTAAAATCGATATTACTTAAAAAAATTACACATATAATAACACAATACGAGACCCATATATCGATTAAATCAAAAAAGTGAAAATTAATTGATATTAAACTAAGTAATCTTATAATCAATACTATTTTTCAAAAATACTCAAACAATAACATAATACTTGACCCTTATATCGAATAAGTCCGAAAAGATACAATAAATCGATACTCGAAAACATAATTCTAAAATTGACATTAAATTTATAATCTACATCTTAAATAACATAATGTCAGGCCTTTATATCGAATAAATCTGAAAAGGTACAATAAATCGATATCCATTAGTGTAATATAAAATCGATAGTACTTTCAAAAACTCTGCTCACTGGAGCATGATAATAGACCCTCATATGGGAAAATAAAAAAAAAAAATATGAGAAGGAGTGGAGTTGATCAGGGGGTGCGGTCAAGTTAATACTAAATTAAATAAGTAGAATTATTTAATTTTTGCTGACGTTTCGACCCACTTTGAAGGTCTTCATCAGGGCGTAGAATGTAGCACTGCGGGAGGCAGTTGAAACACTGATAAGGTCAACCATATCTGCATCATTAAAAAAAAATAATCATGGGTGATAAATATTCAGGACACAGTAATTATAAAGTTTTTATTGGTGCCGACATTTCAACCCAAACATGTTGGTCATTATCAGGGCGTGTTTTGAGCAATCACTCATCAGTGCTCGAAACGCCCTGATTGATGACCCACATGTTGGGTTAAAATGTCGGCACTAATATAAACTTTATGACTGCATCCTGAATATTTATCAACCATAATAATGTAGAACAATCGACTAACTTCCTTCAATAAAAATAAAGTTTTTCAATTTGATATGGAAAAGTTTGTATTTGACTTGGAAAAGATTGAATTTGACTTGGAAAGGTTTGAAATTGTTTTGGTAAAGGTTGAATTTGACTTGGAAAAAGTTAAACATTACATGGAAATATTATACCAAAAATTCTGACAAGTAAAAATAAATTGATATACGACCGTGTAATCATAAAATTTATAATATTTTTCAAGAGCTACGATAATATAGCAATTGGTCCTTATTTTGAAAAAAATAGATAGTTATAAAAATTCAAAACTTGAATCTGGAATGGAATAGATTGAATTTGACCAGGAAAAAATTGAATAAGACATGGAAAATATTATCCTGAAAAATAAAAATAAATTTATATGCAATCAGGTAATCATAAAATTTATAATATTTTTCAACCACTATCAACATCTTCGATAATACGACCAGGTCCAACTACATGGCATTATTGAAAATTGAAAATGTTAAATCCCTTAGTAAACTGTTTTATTATACAAAACAATGTTGTAGGGTAAAATCATTTATTGTCAATGGATGACAGTACAGTAATTTTGATTAGATTTTTATTATATATATTTATGTATGTAGGTGTATGTATGTGTGTATGTATATGTGTGTATGTATATGTGTATATGTATGTATATTCTTTTTTTTTCCTTTTTTAACAACTAAATTATGTAAAAACTGTAACTGTAGAGGAATATGTGTATATAATTTTTTCTATTTGTTTAATATATATTATTTAATATCTTATTTAAATGTAGTAAAATGTATCACTGGGTGTTTACAAAGATTTATATTGGTTTGTGTATTTATTATTATTATGGATTGTTTTTCTTTTTATTATTGTATACTATTATATTATATATTGTTAATGGTTGCTGTTCAGAGATGTTGACACTGCAACCCGAAGAATTGTTATTTTTTTCATTATCTCCTTTGTATATATTACTGTTAATGACCAACTCTATTTGTATGGGGTATTCCCCAAAAACAAATAAATTATTGTTATATATTATAGTATTTTTCAAGAGCTACCAACACCTTCGATAATATAGTAACTGGCTCTTATTTTGAAAAAAAAATGGAATGAAAAAAAAAATTAAAGTTATAAAAAGTCTAAAGTTGAATTTAGAAAAAGTTTAATTTGAAATAAAAAATGTTGAATTTCATTTAGAAAAGGTTGAATTTGACTTGGAAATGCAATTTTCTGTGTATATATATATATAGAGAGAGAGAGAGAGAATTTCCAACATTGATTTGACGGCATAAACCATTTAAGTGTCAATAGATAAATATGTTATAAAATTAAATTATCTTAACAAAACATTTACAAAAAAAACTGTATAGATTTTTGTTCACTTAGGAATTACATGGCACCTAAAGTTTTGCATAGGGATTTTACCAAAAATCCATTTTTGTGCCATTGGGAGTCAAATTATTGCACATATTAGAATTCTTCAAGTATTTTTATATAGTTATGATATTTCTACAGAAGTAAGAAATAGGGCTTTAAAAGTAGTTGTACTGGGATCTCAGGGTCCAGAATAGTCCTTAATGACACCAAACACTTTATTTTTAGAGAACTACATTTGTACCTGAAAATATGGTAAATAGTGCATATTACTTATTTAAGTATTACTTATACATTTAGTAGATACTATTTATAATTAGATACAAAAATACTGTTAAAATTTAGAGCAGTAGAATAATAATAAATACAAAATTAAGTTTTTATGCAAAAACTCAAAATTAACACATAAAACTATAATTGCTCAACCTTTTGAACGGTTTAAGATAAGATAGTAAAATAATATATATTCTTGATAATGCTTAACAACTTTCTTCCCCCATGAGTTTTTTTGTAAAATGAAGAGATAAAGAGTTGGCTAGTGAAACAAACATAAAAATGTGAGGTAATAATTTTTCCAACGGCAGTGATTATTGAGCCCAGGTATTTCTGAAAATATGTGATATCGATCTTGTTGAAAATTTTTATCAGCTTTAATTTTGTAAATAGAACATATTTATCGCTGACGCATGGTTTACTTGAAATAAACGAAGAACCGAAAAAAGTGACCTGAGTACCATAGTGTTGGGCAATTACTTGAGTAAATGTGCAGCGGTGACGTCACGAGTGATCACTCTTAGAAGCTTAGCCATGAGTAAATTTGAAAATTACTTACCAAACATTTTAACGCCATGAGTAATTTAAAAAATAAAATATGTTTTTATTTTATATAATCTAATATTTTTTGGAGCCTTTTTGTAACCTTTCGGATTTAATCAATATCAGGGTCGACTATTATATTTTGACACTTTATTCTCTATAGAGGCTGAGTGTCCCTGCCAGCAATTTCATTTCTCTTATGCCCTTTTTCATTGTCTACAATTAGATGGATTTGAGACATTATATTTACTACTGTTTGAGACTCTCTAACTTTTGAAGAGGCTGAGTGTGCCTGACAGCAATTTAATTTTTCTTATGCCCTTTTTTGTTTTTTTACAATTAGATGGACTTGAGGCATTATATTTACTGCTGTTTTAGACACTTTAATCTTTCTAAAAACTGAGTATGCCCGAAGTTTTTTTTTTTTTTTTTTTTTTTTTTTTTTTTTTTTTTTTTTTTGTTTTCCTACTCATCTCAAGGCTCAAACCTGTCTAACAACAAAAAAAACCTATAAGATGGCATAAGAAAAAACGAAACAGTTGCCGGGCACACTCAGCTTCTACACAGATTACAGTGCCTCAAACAGCAGTAAATATAATGCCTCAACTCCATCTAATTGTAAAAAACGAAAAGGACCATACGAAAAAATTTAATTTCTGTCGGGCACACTCAGCCTCTACACAGATTTCAGTGTCTCAAACAGCAGTAAATATGATGTCTCAACTCCATCTAATTGTAAAAAACGAAAAGGACCATACGAAAAAATTTAATTTCTGTCGGGCACACTCAGCCTCTACACAGATTTCAGTGTCTCAAACAGCAGTAAATATAATGCCTCAACTCCATCTAATTGTAAAAAACGAAAAGGACCATACGAAAAAATTTAATTTCTGTCGGGCACACTCAGCCTCTACACAGATTTCAGTGTCTCAAACAGCAGTAAATATGATGTCTCAAGTCCGTCTTATTGTTAAAAAAAAGGGGGGAGCATAAGAAAAAATGAAATTTCTGTCAGGCACACTCAGCCTCTACAAAAACCAAAATATCTCAAACAGCAGTAAATATAATGTCTCAAGTCCGTCTAATTGTAAAAAATGAAAAGAGGCACAAGAAAAATTAAACTTCTGTCGAGCACATTCAGCCTCAACAAAGGTTAAAGTGTCTCAAACAGGAGTAAATATAATATTAAGGAGATCGGGCACACTTAGTCTTTTTGAGCTTGATACCTGTAGTACCACCTATATCTGTAGTAATAGATAGGCGAAATATGCACTCTATGGTCACTGTCACCAGCGGATTAGAGGTTGATAGGTCAGTGTTATACTACATATTTAAATATTATATATTTTCTATATTGGTGAATTTTTTATGTTATTACAGAACAGAATTATTTCGGAAATAATTATTTTATGCTTTTTGTAAAAATTTATTTATGAAATAAATAAATCTGAAATAACTTATTTCGAAATAAATAACTTTATTTCAATGAATATTAAAATATTATTTCAGAAATTACCATTATTTCGGAAATAATCATATGATTTATTTTAAAAATAAATTATTCCAAGAATGCCTAGATCTAGGTCAAACTAAGTCCCTAAATAAAAATTTGTGTTCCTTTTGTTTCCCTCTAAAATTATTCATTGATTGGACTTCTAGAAATATCAAACAAACATCATTTCACAGGAAATGTTTTAAACTAAAAAACTTATTCTCTGCAAATTTAATTTATTCCTACTCCTAATATGATAAAAATTGACCTGAAGTTTAATGTGCAACTCAAAAAAAAAAAAAAAAATAGTCAAACCATTTCTTCTATTATTACGAGCACTTTAAATCACTTACCTCTTGTAAGATGGGTAGGTGCTTAATAGTAGGTCAACCAGAATAAATATTCCTACTAAATGTATCCTTAGTTTTTTACGACTCCATAAAGTTTGAAATTTTTCGATTTTTTCAAAACTGAAGCTTTAATATCACCAATGAGACAGGAGTTAAAAATCTGAAATTCACAATAGTTATAGTGTCTTTCGAGAGGTTTATGGAAAATAAAAGCCATACTTGTTTATTTGCTTGGTTAAAATTGGGTAACTTCAAAAATGAGAAAAAAACATGATAAGCAATTGTAACATCTGAGCTATGCAAGTAAGTTTTACACTGATCATATAATAATTTTTTTCACTTCACAAGCAAAACATATGCTTACCAAATTATGAAGTAAGACATACACTCAATTGTGTATTAAGTTAAAGGTGGCATAATTAATTACATAAAATTGTATTATTGTTATCTGAATTATTATAAGACAGCATTTTCTTCAGTTAGGTTATGTTTATGTGACTTACCTGTAATCTTTTTGACAAGCCTATAGCAATATTTTTATTTTCTTTGTATTTGCCTTATAGTAGATTTCAGTTTATTTGCAATTTTGAAATTTCTACATAAAGTTTTGTGTAATTGTATACAAACAATCGAGTTCTGTATACAAACAACTTGAGTTGTTAATTCAAGTTGGATTAACTTTCTTAAAACATTATTTGCAACCACTCTTTCCCATTTTAACATTTTTGTTAAATGAAGTTCAAGGTCCTAGAGGATGGAAATTTGAGAACCAGTTGAAAAGTGATACATATCTTGGGCCACCTTCGCCATAGAATTGATAAAAATCTTCTTCACTTATATAGTAGGTTATAGAAACTGAAAAAGCAGAACTGACTCAATATAGAAACTATATTATATAAAGCAGGATAGTCAAATATCTTCTCACAGATATCCTGTCATTGGTATTCAAATGAAATTTTGATTTTTTTTTTTTTAATGGCAGTAGCATTTCTGGCCACATTGGGGCATGAAAAGACTTTTTTATATCTTTTCCAAAATATAAAGTTGTTTTTTTATTATCCTCCATTAAATCTCGTTAAATTTAACTCTTTACATTTTTTTTATTTACTTTTAAATTAATTATAATATTGTCTATATTTATATATTCATCAATTACATCACCCTACAGATAAAATTTTTTTTTTTTTTGAGGTCATATGAAACTATGTGTTTATAAAAGATTGTTTCATACTAATGTCATATGTGCTTTCATTTTTTCTCCATCACGTCTTGATTTTCCACAATATTGAATTAAAATACTTGGAATTCATTAAAAAGAAATAATTTTTTCTGAAACAAGCATTGCAGTAAAGCCTCAACGCCACTAGACAAAAAAATAAGTTTGATTAGATTTTATTTATGTTTTGATGGTTTCCTTCCAGATGGCACGGCGCAGTATCCAGTCTCTCATAAGGCACCAGAGTTTCACTTCTGCTGGTATCTCTTTTACAGTTCTTTTATGTCTTTGTGAAAACGTTCACTTTGCTCCTCACAATATATACTAACATTTTCTGGAAAGTACTGAAGATGAGGATGCACTTTTACACTTATCCTACAATCGCGATTTCTGAATTGATGCAGATTTGAGTCAATAAGATATTTGTAATTTGACTCCTTGATGTTTCTCAAGAATCTGTTCGCTAAACACATGAAGCGTTTTTCTTTTATTGTTATTGTTGCTTTGAAGTTAAACTTCACATAATATTCTAAGATCCTTGATTAGATCTCAAATCTGTGGCCAAACAAAAATCATAAAATGTCAAAAAAGTAGAAGAGATAGAAAAAACTAATCATGGCAATAAAATAAGCATGAATATGAAAACAATCTTTTTGGTGCAATAATAGTGGAAAAAATCTGGTGCGCGCATCACACAACTTTCACTCACTGCCCAACTTTTTATGTCATAGAAAATTCAAAGCAAATGAATAACAGTATTATGAATCATGACTGGTCCATTTTATTTAATTTATAACACACTTTGTTGTGGCATAAAATGTTTATATGTACTTTACAAGAGCGAAAATTCTTATATAATTAATTTAAATAAGTTACAATGATTATCTTTATTTTGTTCAAATTTTCAGGATCCTGGACCACTCTTTGCTTAGGCATAATAAGATGATGATAATATTAGTGATATATCATTATTGTTATAATATAAATCTAATTAGTGCTTCTTTTTCTTTAACTTGCTCAATTGGTGTAATGAAGGATTAAAAAATAAACCCTTGTAGTAAATTAAAGTAATTTTTAAAATATACAAAAAAAATTCAAATTTTATTTGATTAAAATTATAATAATTGTCAAATAACCATTCAAAAGCTTACTTATAAACTGTAATTCTTTTTGCATGATTTTGCTGTTTTCCTCATGTTTGAACGGTCAACAAACTTCAACCAAGCAAATAAACAAGTAGAGCTTTTATTATTCATAAAACTCCCGAAAAACAATAACATTTTCAGATTTTTAATTCCAGTCCAATCATTATAGCTACATTTTTGAAAAAAAAAAAAAATTAAAAATATAAAACTTAAATAAAAAAAATAAGAGTACATATAATAGAAATAATGTTAATTCTAATAGGACAACTATTGGGCACCTAACCATCCCACAAGAATTAAGCGGTTAATACTGCTCCTCATAGAAAAAAAGTTTGAAAATCGATTGGGTAAGACAGGGGAGTGAGGGGAAGGGCAGAGTGAAGCCTCCTGAAGTATTGAAATATGGCGCTGGAACTGAGAAAATTGGAAAAAAAAAAAAAGAAAAGAGGATAAAAGTGTAGGTAACCCATTATCATTTCCAGTATTGTGTTAGTCCCAGACGAAACAATAAGAAGTTGCAAAGAATTGGGGACTTCTGGTAACACCCTGGAGAAAGAACATTTAATAAGAGCTGCAAAAAAACAAAAATTAATAAAAGAAAGAAAAAAGCTTGTCTTAGAATTTAGTTTACTCGACCAATTTTTGAGCAATTCCTTCTGATTAAATAAAAACGGGACCATCTTAAAGAAGACACAAAATTGGTGTTAACTATTTTTCCGTTAAGAATCGGACTATGCTTGACTTTTTGTTGAAAATTTTATTTAGAATCACCTCCCAGAGTTTAGCCATTAACTCATATCCATTCAATTTATTTTTATTCTTTATACATATAATTATCAGATGTTTTTGCCCCATATTGGGCTCATGTTGAGTCTGGCTACTCAAGGAGAAACTGCTCAAATCTCTTGTTTTTATTTTATGAAGACTTGAAGAGGTTAATCAAATTTTATCTTAGTTTATTTATATTTTGTTATTAAGTATCGATCTAACTGAAAAGTATTAAGCTAATGCAAATCAGTATTTTATTAAAAAAATGCTTTCGTGATTTTTTCAACTTCAAAAACTTGATCATCCAGTGCTTTATGTTACAGGATTTACCTTCGCAGAAAAGTTGCTTTGTTCCTAAACAAGACAATCAACAATGATGATGTGGAAAAACTTTCCGACTTTCTCCACATCGATAATTTCAAAAAGAACTCACGCCAGATTCCCATTAAGGGTATTGGCTAATGAGAACCGTGGTTCATTCATCAGGAAAGGTACTTTGTACGGTAATTTAATTGTTTTAATATGTATATTATCACTCATCTGTGGTGGTGGTTTAGCAGTTAGGTTTACTGAATGGAATATATAATATAAATCACTCTGTACAAAAAGAGGAAAGATTTTAACAGGTTTATCAATTGATGTTTCATTAACAGCCATCCCAAAAAAATATCTGGTTGCTCTGTGGGAGAAATTTTGGTTATCAATTTTTTTATGCCTAAATTTCAATGTTTGAAGGATAAGAAAAACATCTGTTTGCCCTTTTATTCAGTATAGTTTGGTTTCGAAAATGTGCTTAAAACTACCACCTAACAACCAAAATAAATTTGTTTATACAATACAATTTAATACCATAACAACTTTAAAAAAATAGAAAAATATTTCTCTTTAATAATAGAAAAAAATAAATAAAATAAAATTGTAATAATAAATAGAAATACCAATACCTTAGTTTGATCTTTTCTTCACCCTTAGGTCTTTCTTCTTCTGGAGGATCACACTCATCTCTGATGGCAGAAGGAAATGGGCTTGACACAGCAGAAACGTTCGTAGAAAGAGAGTCATCCTCTATAATCTTTTTCTTAATATCATCAGCTTCTTTATCAAGATGGTTGGGCAACTGCACAGAAAATAAAGAATACTATATTAACAACAATAAACTAAACAACAATTAACTGCTGACACAGAGTAAGTTGGAATAACCGATTGGTACAAAATCACATCATATTACTTATAAGTCATTAAATTACTATGAACTCAAGCCATTTCTAACACAATTTTGAGCATATTTACCTAATTTCTTATAAACAATTCAAATTTATTTTTCTAATTGAACATATTTAATTTATTGTAATATTTTTTACATTTATTTTCCTTTTAAGATCCTTTTATACTTGTTTCACCCTTACTTTAAAATCAATGCTTCGCAACTTTGGTTTATCTTTATGACCGATCCTTTTTTTTATTTATTTAATTTGCTTCTTTAGGTATGTACTGTAATACATAAAAGAAAGAGGGTTGTGTAGACAGACAAAAAGTCTGTAATACTGGCCAAGAAGAGAAGAAAAAATTAAAGGGCCCCATACACAGTCAATATTATTAACTATGAAAAATATTTAATATCAAATTCAATTATAATGACGTCAATCAAACTGGTTGATATCATTTTTTTTTATTGTAGCTCTTTCCATATTATTGAAACAGTGTGAGGTAATTGCACGTGTAAGGGATATATTAAGCAATGTTAAATCATATGCACTGATCTAGGAGCTTCAGAAGCCCTGAGCTATTTGATAATTTGGGTTTCCTTATGGTTAGAGCAGGGGTCTTGTCTTCAGCTAAGCTAAGCTAGGCTGCATTGCGACTACCACCCAAGGCTTGTGATGCAAAAATATCTATAAATGACACTTCAGTTGTGAAATGAGCTTTTCGAAAGAAAAAAAAAAACCTGCAATCAATGTTGTAGTAACCTCATGTGTTAGTAATTAGCTAGATTTCACATGTTTAAATAGTTATTAAAATTTTAACATGTGATCGAACTTTCGGGTCCGGGCCCGTTGGTTGTTGTTATGAGACCCTGGAGTAAGAGCATTGGTGAGTGAAGGGGAGTCTGCCTCCCCTGAAAACATTCTCCAGATGTTTTATTTCAGGATATTTTCCATTATTGTTGGCCGTTTAATTACAAACAATGCTTGATTTTCAACTTGAATTTTTTTTTTTTTAATTGACTTTACTGGTGTTTTATATTGCTTCATGTTGTATTATTCCCTGGCTATTCAGCTTTAATAAAAGGCCAATTATGACGAAAATTAAATCAAATGCTGATTCTTAGTGACTCAAGTCAAAGTCTCCATTCTGCTATCTTTGGACGCCATTTTGGAGCAGTGTGTTCACTTTTTTCGTGAGAACATTGGCTTTTTTTTAATAAATAGTTACAAGAAACAAAACAATATGCAATTTATAGGGATGTGGAGAGAGGGAGAGGGGCACAGTAGAGGGGTCTGGTCCAAAGTATAAATCATCCTTTCCTTTATATTGCAATGTATCATCCATTTCCGGTTCCCTTTGACCTGTCTTTTGAATCAAACCTCTAATATTATATTAGTTTTTACAATAAAATAATAATTTCCAGTGGATTTAATACCAATTTGCTTCCTGAATTTCATAACAGACTTTACTAGGAAAATCTCTTCTCTCTATGTTTCCAGAGCCATAGATTTGAACATGACCTCCATATTATGATTACGCAATTATGTTTAGACTTATTTAAGTTTTTTTGATTTATTCGATATAATGGTGTGTTCTTATGTTTCCGGAGCCATAGATTTTGAAAATGACCTCCATTTTATGATTACGCAACTACGTTCCGACTTATTGAAGTTTTTTTCATTTATTAGATTTCAACTTATTCAAGTTTTTCGGATGTACTCGACATAAGTGTGAATTCTTATGTTTCCAGAGTTTATCCTTACGGCTCCAGAAACATAATAATAAACTCTTATATCGAATAAATACGAAACAATTAAATGAGCCGAAACGCAGTGGCATAATCATAGAATGGACGTCATTATTAAAATCTATGGCTCAGGAAACATAAGAATTTACTTAAACATCATACCCGTGTATTCAAATGTTTTGGGAGTCGTAGATTTTAAAAATGACCTCCATTTTATGATTACGCAACTATGTTTCGACTTATTTAAGTTTTTTTGATTTATTCCATATAAGGGTGTATTGTTATTTATGTTTCCAGAGCCATAAGGACGAACTCCGGAAACATAAGAATACACACTTATATCGAATACATCCGAAAAACGTCGGAATGCAGTGGCCTAATTTTCAAATGGAGATCATTTTCAAAATCTACGACTCTGAAAACATAGAAAACACCATTATATCAAATAAATAAAAAAAAAACTTAAAGAAGTAGAAACGTAGTGGCGTAATCTTAAAATGGAGGTCATTATTAAAAATCTATGACTCCGGAAACATAAGAATACACCCTTATGTCAAATAACTTCAAAAACCTCAAATAAAAAAGTCAAAACATAGTTTTGTAATAAGAAAATAAAGGCCATTTTCAATATCTACGGCTCTGGAAACATAACGATACCCCCTTATATCGAATACATCCGAAAAACTCAAATAAGTCCAAACGCAGTAGCGTAATTTAATTCATTATTAAAATCTACGAATCCGTATACATAAGAATACACTCTTATATTGAGTGAATCCTAAAAACCTTAATAATTCGAAACGCAGCGCCGTAATCTTAAACTGGAGATCATTATTAAAAAATACGGCTATAAAAACATAATACAACATTATATCGAATAAATCCTAAAAATCTTATAAAATCGGATGTACTCGACATAAGTGTGTATTCTTATGTTTCCGGAGTTTATCCTTACGGCCCCGGAAACATAATAATAAACTCTTATATCGAATAAATACAAAAAAATTAAATGAGCCGAAACGCAACGGCGTAATCTTAAAATGAAGGGCCTTTTCATAATCAAATGCTCTGGGAACATAACAATACCCCCTTATATCCAATACACCCGAAAAACAATAAGTCGAAACAGAGTTGCGTAATCATAAAATGGAGGTGATTTGCAAGATTTACGACTCTCAAAACATAAGAATACCTAATTATATAGAATAAATCCGAAAAACTAAAATAAGTCCAAACGCAGTGGTGTAATTTAAGGTAGTTTTCAAAATCTACGGCTCTGGATACATAAGAATAAACTCTATATATCGAATAAATACGAAAAACTTAAATGAGCCGAAACACAGTGCCGTAATCAAAAAATGGAGTTCATTATCAAAATCGATGGCTCCGGAAACATAAAAATACACCCTTATTTTGAAAACATCCGAAAAACTTTAATACGTAGAAACGCAGCGGCGTAATCTTAAAATGGAGGTCATTATCAAAAATTTACGGCTCCGGATACAAAAGAATACATTCTTAATTCGAAAAACTTTAAAAAGACGAAAAGAAGCGGCGTAATCTTAAAATAAATTGTAATAATCAAAATCTATGGCTCCGGATACATAATAATACACTCTTACAACTCCAAAAACTTTAAAAAGTCTAAACATAGTTGCGTAATCATAATATGGAGGTCATTTTCAAAATCCACGACTCTGAAAACATAACAATACACCGTTATATCGAATAAATAAAAAAAAAACTTAAATAAGTCGAAACAGAGTTGCGTAATCATAATATGGAGGTTATTTTCAAAATATACGACTCTGAAAACACAAGAATACACACTTATATCGAAAACATCATAAGGGTGTATTCGTATGTTTTCTTGGAGTCTTAGACTTTGAAAATTACCTAAATTTTATGATTACGCAACTCTGTTTTGACTTATTTAAGGTTTTTGGATTTATTCAATATAATGGTGTATTCTTATGTTTTCAGTCGCAAATTTTGAAAATCCCCTCTATTTTATGATAACGCCGCTATGTTCCTACTTATTGTTTTTCGGATGTATTCGATATGAGGCGGTATTGTTATGTTCCCAGAGCCTTTGATTATGAACATGCCCTTCATTTTAAGATTACGAAACTAGGTTTCGACTTTTTTATTTGAGTTTTTTTAGAATTATTTGATATAAGGGTTTATTCTTATGTATTCGGAGTCATAGATTTTGAAAAATACCTCCATTTCAAGATAACGCGACTTCGTTGCGACTTACTGAAGTTGTTCGGATTTATTCGATATAAGAGTGTATTTTCATGTTTCCGGAGCCGTAGAATTTGAAAATGACCTCCATTTTACGATTACGCAACTGCTTTTCGACTTATTTAAGTTACGTTTTTAGGTGTTTTTTTTTGGTTTTCAGTCATAAATTTTGAAAGTGACCTTCATATTATGATTATGCCACTACGATCAGACTTATTTAAGTTATTTTGATTTATTATATTTTGAGATATATTGGCATATTATGATTCAGGAGCCTTCAATTTTGATAATGACTTCCATTTTGAGTTTACGCAGCTGCGTTTCGGCTTATATAAGTTTTTTTTGGATTTATATCGATATCAGGGTTGACTCTTATATTTTGGGGGGCGCTTTTTATGAATATGATATCGGATTACGAACCATTTTCATAAATTTTGAGATAGTGCCCCCAGGCCCTGACTTTTTCTAACATTTCAGATTTAATCGATATTAGGGTCAATTATTAGGTTTTAGGGGGCGCTATTTATGAAAATGATGTCAGATTTTCATTGAAGGGGGGGCTAATGGGTAGGGTAACGGGAGGTCTAGAGAGGGAGATAGGTGCGGGAATCTCCCCAACTCTTTGCGGAATGATCGAGTGTAGTGCCCTACCCACTGCTTGTGAGTTCCCAGATCTCCTTATCCCTATCAACGCCTACTGTCACCTCCATGTGGCGCCCCCCGGGGAGTCCGATGGGACTCGCGGACGACAGAGGCGGGGTTCGTTGGTTCCATCCATGTGTATGCGGATGATACATGTGAGATGGAACTGAGGAACCTGTTAGGCACCCAAGCTAGGTCGGGGCGCACGAGCTGAGGCTGAGTGGCAGAGGGTGGGTAAAAATATACTGTCTTGTATCGACTCACTTGGGGAACCG